TCTCCAGCACACAGAGTGCTCAGTCCTGTGGTATGCCGTGAGCAAGGGTGGTCCACTGTGCTTTCTCAAAACGGGTGAACACCGGGGTAGGCCTGGAGCTTCTGGACATCTGTCAAAGAGGCCAGATTAATGTCTCTGAAATTTGTTTCATTGTTCTGTGAACTTCCTGGGCAACATTCTTATTGGGGGGGTTTGAAAAACTGTATAAAAAGAAGAAACTCGATAAAAAAGTTTATTACTTCTGACAATAAAACAATTTTTTAAGTGCATGTTGCATTCAAATGGATGGTATAAAAGTGATAAGAGAAAGCACAGCCCTGGCTGGTGTAGGTCAGTGGATTGAGCGAGGGCCTGGGAATCAAACAACCACGGTTCGATTCCCAGTCAGGGCACAAGCCTAGGTTGCAGGCCAGTTCCCAGAAGGGGACACACAAGAGGCAACCATACATTGATATTTCTCTCCCTCTCTCCTTCCCTTTCCCTCTAAAGATAAATAAATAAAATCTTAAAAAACAAACAAAAAAGTGATAAGAGAAAGCAAAAGGATTCTCCTCACTGTTTATACTAAGTTCTTCAGTCTGTATTTTTAAAAATTTCTCTCATGAGGTTCAGAGCCCATGAAGCCTTCTCTTGTATATAGTGAAACTCTTGAGCAGTAAAAGCCCAGGTATGTTTTAGTGACCAGGTCAGTGTGAGAGGTCACCTCAGTAGCACTATAGAACAGCGACAGCAGTCCCACTAGCTGAGGCCACAGTGTTGAATAAATCGAGGTCCTCTAACCAGTCATCTGTCACCACCCCAAACACCCGTGCTTGAGCTGCCTTGGGGGCTGGGTTGTGTGGTTGTCATGGCAGTCATGGCCTCTGAGGGCACACCAGCCTTCAGTATCAAATGCAGCCTCCCTCATGATGTCCCAGGTTCCAGGGAAATAAAACAACACCTGGCTGTCTAAAGTGTTATTGAACAGGTGATAGGATGGTGGATGAAACCAGATACAGGAAATATAAGTTGCCATGATAATTGTTCTCCAGCGATTTAAAAATAACAAATTTTTCATTGCTAGGAACTAAGAACAAGAGATGAGCGCCCTCTTGTGGAGAGACCCACAGGTATTCCTTCTATTGACTACCACCACCATCTAGCTCTTCCTTCTGGAAGTGTAACAGGGTGCAGCCAAAGGGGGGGCCCAGAACTCAAGGTGTCCAGGAAATATTAAGATGTCCTCACCCCTCCCCCACCACAGGTGTGAGTTGGGGAAGGGACAAATGGAGAGGGGCCATTGAATTGTTTTGTGTAGCAACAGTTTCTCAGATAACCTCTGGCATGGTCATTTAACATATCTATAACCTTTAACTGGTTGCATAGATATGTTAAATAGCTGTGGGCATGCTCTGAGCCAGGGAGAAGGGAGTGACTTCCACCCAAGATGTAACTGGGAGGTAACTTCCCCTGGTTACAGCGCCTGCGTGAAAGCTGGGAGATGATTAGCTCCATGCCAGGGGGCCACACCTGCCCAGACTCATGATGACAGCTCAGTAGACTTGGAATGTACAGCAATGCTGGCTAGTGTAGCCTATTGTAGGAGGAGCCCAAAATGGGGCTGCAAAGAAGGAGTGGCTCGGGGATTGAAAACCCAGACACGGCAGCCATTGGAGGAGTACCACTCGGCTTTGCCAGAGTGGGGACCCCCACAGCCATGGGAGAAGAAGAGAGGGAACCATGCAGCTGCGGCAGTGCAGAGAGAAAGCCATGCGCTTCTGGCAGAGTAGGGACCCCTGCAGCTGAGGGTAGAGGGAATCACCATGCGGCTTTAGCAGAGACTCACCACTCGCCTTTGCCAGAGTGGTGACCCTACCCTTTCCGCAGCCATGTGAAGGAAAGAACCATGTGGTTTGGGCCGGAGTGCTGACCCCTGCAGCTTTGGTAGAAGAGGACCACATGGCTTTGGGGTGCTCCCTTTGGCCGCATGACCTGGGAAGCAGGAGAGGCTTTGCCTTGAATAAGAGTGAAAGGACTCTTTGCCAGTAGACTGTGAGAAGGTGCAACATGGCTTTGAAGTAATTAGAGATCCTGCCTGGACGGCAACACAGCTGATGGTGCCAGTGGCCTGAAACACAGACATGTGCTTCTTTTCCTGAGATACGGTACCCTGAATTAGGGTAGGGGGAGAAGGAAGCGCTGTGGGTGTCTGTGGTTATCCTAGAGGACTTTGATATATTAATGGGGACATTGGGTCACTACTTTAAGTCTGTATAGCTTTAAATAAAACTTTTCTTTCCTTCACAAATCTTTGGCATTGAGAGACGTCTTTCCTCTGGCAGCGGACAGACGAGCCCAGTATGTGGTCTGGACAGTGTTAGTCTTCACTCCTCCGGAGTCCAGGCACCCCTGTCTGTTCTGTAACAGAAGCATCTGCCAAAGTCACCCAGTCTTCACTATCATATGACTCTAGTGCATTGTAAGCATATATTTGACAACATCCTCTCAACTTTTTCAAAGTAATAATAATTAAAAGGCTAATTACTCTTCAATTCCCGTGCTGGGGTCTAGCAGTTGCTGTGTGCCTATTCATCCTCCAGAGAAGTCGCATTATGACACATTTGTCTTACCACAAAGGCATTTCTGCTCAGTTTGCTGATTTAAAACCCCCAAACAAGAATGTTGTCCAGGAATTTCATAGAACAGTGAAACAAGTTTGCTGGGATTCCCAGTTGTTGGGAAGGGAGTGACAATTATTTTGCTCACACAGCCCCCTCCCTCACTTAAATGTTACACCATTTATTTCCATGCAAGACACATTTATTAAATATTAAACATCATGTAGGCACCGGAGATACCCAAATAAACAGGAACAACCTTTAGCTTTGAGACCCCTGTCCAGCAAGGAGTCAGCAGACACACCTGTAAGTGGTAAGTGCTATAGTTATGGAACTCAAGCGGTTTTCTGCTTGGGGTGCCCTATTCCAGAATGAGATGAGCCATGGTTGTTGCAGGTCATTGGCAAGGGAGTTTTATTTACTTGCCGCAAGTAAAGGAGACGGGATTCATATCCAAAGCTCTGTTTCCTGGAAGGGAGGCTTGGCCATTGCTTATTTATTTGGTCAATTACATGTTGATTTATTCTTTGCAATTGGCTACATTTATCCTTTGAGTTCCTGGCCTGCTCATCCTGTTTACAGTTCTACCTGTAAAATACTGTGCTACGTTTTAACATTTAGCAAGATAACATTTCGTAAGAACTTCTGAGACCTTAAGACCTTTGTTCTATCTAGCACTAGGATTATGTACAAAGAGCAACAAGTGTAAAAAGTTGAAGAAGGAAGAAGAGAAGTCTATGGCCACTGTCAACACCCCAGTGCCCACTTCACTTGGCACCCCTCTCCAGACTTCTCAGAGTTTCTGATGGAGCTGCAGCTGTGGTCCCATTGAGAGACCCCATCTCCTGGGGCTCTCCACTGTCCCTCAGGAGGCTGGCCTGAGTGTGGACACATTGCTTTTCCTCTTTGTTCATCCATGGCAAGGTTGTAATTTTTCAGTAGAAATGTTTACTAGGCAACTGAAGGAAAAAACAAAAGCAAAAGATGAAACACAGGGTACATGAAGACCAGCCTTCCCAGAGAAGGAGCCTTATCTAATGTGACAGGCACAGAGCTCCACTGCAGGCCGGCTTGGCAAAAGCAGCTACTCAGTGCACAAGCTCCTTCGCCCCCCTTGTGTCTCCAGGGGCGCAAGTCCAATGTGAGGCAGACTGGGGCTCATGTCACTCTGGGCTTGCTGATATCTTCTGCAGTACATTCTAGAACCTGCTTTCTAAGCTCTGCTCTGGGATGGGTACGTGGCTTCTTCTTTCCCCCACTCCCACTGTAGCCCCCCAGATACCTTCCCTCCTAGCCCTGAAAAATGAAGCTCTTTCTTCCCCCTCCTCTTTTTTTATTTTTTAGATTAACGAACATTTGAGTTACATCTGAGTTTGGTAGAGATTAATTTAGGTTACTCTGGGATAGAATCTGTTTTCTAATTCAGCGCATGTCTTAATCTCACCCTGAGATGAGGAAAAGTCCAAATGCCTTCCTTTTAAATAGAGTTCATTGGAACAAATCAGTTTATTCTGGAGAAACTGGAAATTCAGCAATGCTGAATTCGAGAAGTTAATCTTGAGATTGTATTCACTTAGTAGAAACACAGGACCAGATTTGGAAGGGAAGTGGTACTGTCCAGGTCATGAACAATCAGCAGGCCAAACAGATTCCCAGCCCTGGTTTTGGACAAGGCTGAGCCTGAAATTCAGCTCTGCTACTTACTAGGTGTGCCTTCCTAAAGCAGGGCCCATATGGAGCCTTGGTGCTCCTGTAATGGCGTGTTGAGCTGAAAGTCCCCCAGAATGCAGAGAACCCCCGTAGTGATCACTTGGGGGATGAGGGGAGTGAAGCGGGGCCATTGAGAGCTCCTTTGCATATCTGAAGAACTTGGCCAATGTTTTAATAACGTTAAAGAGCTGAGCCTGCGCTGGGGAGCCAGGGAGAGGGGTGTGACTCAAACTCATGATGCAAGGTAGCCAGAGGGGCTTCCTGAGCCTGCAAGAGCCTTGGAGTCAGCTTCTGCCTCACAGGGCCACACTTGCCAAAGAAACCAGACTCCTGGCAGACATAATCCAGTGTGGGAGGAGTCAGAAATGGGGTTTCAGAGGAAGATCCTCTCTGGGCTTTAAAACCCTGGCAGGGCAGCCCATGCTGGGGCTTAACCACATGGTTTGGGAGCAGAGAGGTGGCTCCCTTAACCACATGGTTTAGGAAGCAGGAAAGCAGGATGTAGGAGCTTTGCAGAGCTCTCTCTTGGCCACATGGTTCCAATACTTGCAGAAGGACTCCCACTGGCCCACTGTGAGGAAGTGCTGTTACGGGAAATGAAGCGACCAGACACCGAGGGATTCTGGAGTACGAGGTTTATTCGTTTACGTGCACGGGCTCAGAGGAGTCAGTCTCCAAATTCTGAGCCCCGAACAAAAGATTCTTGGGGAATATATAGATTAGGGGTCTTCCTATCTACGTGGCAAAGCAGGAAACAGAAGCAGAATGCGGTAATTAGTTCTATCTACGGGGCAGAAGCAGAGTTCAAAGGCTAAATGTGAAAATTGGTTCTACCTGCGGGGGTGCTAGCCCTAGTCCTAGTGACTATCCGGCTATTTGCTTTATTTGCTCTTCCCAGACGGTCTTATTGTTCTCCTATGGCGCCTGGGGTCTTGGGTGAGCAAAGGTCTCCCAGGGCTTCTCCTATCAGTGCCGCATGATTTTGGATTAAGAATAGGGGCCTCACTGAGCTACAGGCTTCTATTTCTTTTTCTGGGAGATGGTACTCCTGACTGGCCTGGTTTGGCAAAGGAAGGAAGGATTGTATGTGGGTGTGAGTTTGTGGGTGTTTTTTTAAAGGGACTTTGGGATTTAACTGCGACATTCACCATTATTCTGAACGAGTGTAACTTTGGAATAAATAGTTCCTTTCCTTTTTACCAAACTCTGGCACTGAGAGCCACAACAGTGGGCAAAAAGATCTATAGAGTAACAAGACCCCCAGGGACACGGGGAGTGTTTTCTGTAACAATCCTGTCTGTGTCATGGCACAGACTGCACAGGCTGAGGCATAAGAGCTTACTTAGTACAATGCCTGGCACATTATAGTTTCTTCATAAATGGCAATACTTTATTACTGCTGTTGTTATCTGGGAGCCTACTTGCTTCCAGGCACTTGAAACATTCTCATTTATATCTCAGGACAATCCTATGAAATAGACTTACACTCTACACTCAGTATAAAGATACTGAGTTTTGAAAAAAAAAATGAACTTTTCATGAGGTCACATTTCTAAATAGCAGACCTGGACCTCAAATGCTAGTCTGTTCATTGCCAAGTCTTCTTTAAATGACTTCTCTTTTTTTTTGAGGCATAAAACATAGAGGCATTCAGATCATAAGTGTCCATCTCAAAGAATCACCACAAAGTAAACACTGTGGAGACAGCGGAAGGTCGAGAAGCGGAGTGTTACCTACGCCCAGAGTCCCCTTGGTCCCTGTTGCAGAAACAGGAGGTGCCTCTAGAGAGAAGCCCTCAAACCAAGCTCGCTGCTCTTGGTTTCTTTCTCCCAGCTCTTGAATGCCCTCTTAGCTCTCTGAGATCCTGAACAGATAACATTTTTGTCTTGCTTTTTTAGGAGAGGCAGTCCCAGTTATCTAGCTGCCATTACCAGAAGCCCGAAGCCTAGGCCACTGCCCTGCTTGCAACTAGTTCAGAGGAAGAAGCACCCCTGCCAATGACTTCCAGCCACCAGAACTATGAGGGGGTAAATTCTGTTGTGTAAACCACCCAGTTTGTGGGCCTTCGTTATGGCAGCCTGAGCTACCTACTACAGAAGGTGACAGAGAGCAACAACACATTTTGTTAATGATAATTGTGATCACGTGTTGGGGAGATGAAGCAACTGGAATTACCCGGCTAGAGAACCTTTCTTAAAACTCTGATTCCTGCATAAGCTAATTGAAAAATCACCTGGGCTCCTGGTGAAAATTATAGATTTCCAGATCCCATACAAGAACTATTAAGTCAGGTCTTGTGTAGGTAGCTCATGTGGTGAGAGCACAGTCCCAATGCACCAAGGGTGCAGGTTCAGTCCCCAGTCAGGGCACATACAGGAATCAATCAATGAATGAATGTCTAAATGGGTAGAACAATAAATCTCAATCTCTCTCTCTTCTCCCTTCCTCTCTCTCTCAAATCAATTTTTAAAAAAAAGTTTTTCTTAACAATTGTTAAACCAGAATTGCAGGGGTGAGGACCAAATTCTGCACTTTGAAGGAGCACTCAGCTAATTCTTCCAAAGTTTGGGCATTAGTTCAGAAGGAAAGCAACATCTTTACAACTTGTGACACCCAAATCCTGCAGGACATCGCCTTTGGGCCTGTGATCCCAGGAAAACACAAATCGCACACTGCTTCATCTGTGTAGACAGTAAAAACACAATTATTGTGACAAATGGCCAGGAAAAAGTCCTTCAAAACACCTTCTGCATGCACTCATCTTTAATTTACTAAAATAAACCCACATTATTAGTGCCAAGCTCATGAAAATGTCTCGGCTTGGGCAAAATTGTAAAGAGGTGTCCCCATCCCCACGTAGAGCAGATCCTGTCACCAAATATCTGCTATCAGGATATTTTCCATTTTGTGATGTCCAAATTTGTGTTTATATTGCCTGTTTCAGAGGAATCTGCATTTTTAAGTCTAATCTTTCACCGTGGAATAAAATGACAAGAATCAATATTTTCTAACAAAAGTATTCCATAATGGGCTACAAAGATAACTCTATAAGCCCTTTTCCCAGGATAAAAACATTTCCCAACCAGAAAATCCATAACAGTAAAAGCCTAAGCAAATATAGGCAGGTATTTTCCCCCATAGCATTTCATATGTGGTCAGTTCTGTGGAAGAGACCCCTAAAAGGGACTCACACCCCTCTCCCCTTGCAGAAAAACCAAAACTGTCCATTTCTCGCTTTCTCTGGCAGGTGGGAATCCGGTTGTGTGGTGGGAGGTGGGGTGGGGATGAGGCGTGTGCCACATAATTGTAGGCAATGAGATACAGGTGGAAATCCCTAGGGGGTCTGTCCCTCCCAAAATGAAGACAATGTGCCTTCAAAGAAAGCACTTTCTTTACCCCCGGAACCTCTCCACTCTTCCTGTCCAAAAAAAAATGGCAACAATTGGAAGAGCAGCAGCTATGTTGTGACCATGAGGTGAAAAGTTTGGAGAGTAGATCCAGGGAGCTCAGCGTGGGGAGGGACAGCACAGAATGAGGCTCAGGCCTTGTGGCCCCCGCACAAGGGCTGGGCTGCCCACCTCAGACTCTTTTCTTGAGAGAAACAAACTTGTCTGTTTCGGCTGATATGGGGAGGGCTTCTGTTATTTGTAGTCACATATTTTCCCAACCAATAAACAATGGTTGACACTTTCCATCTCCGTGCATCTCACTTTTTCTCTATGCAGTAAAATGATAGACCTTGAAGTGGGTGGTGACTGCAGGCAGGCTCTTCCAGAAGTTCCTATGCCGATGGGCTATGCAGTGATGCCTTCCACCCTGACAGGGGTCTCTAAAAGACATACCGCACAGATCTGACACTCCTAAACTAGAACACTTCTTGCATTGCAGGAGGCATTATAAGAACTCATTACGTGCTGAGCACTGTTTTAACTCTGTGTAGTTTATTTATTAACTCATTTAATCCTTATCACATCCCTAACAAGTATTTTTATTAATCCTGGTTTACAGATGAGGAATCCGAGGCACAGGGAGTTTAAGCAACTCGTGTAAAGGCACACAGGTGGTCACTGGTGGAGCCGGGTTCAGGCCCAGGCTGACAGCTCCAGACCCTGAACTCTTAACCATAATGCTCTCTGTTAACCGGAGTCAAGTAATTTTTTCCAACCTACAAGGCAACTCTCAAAATCAGTGACTTTCTGGGGTACAATTTTCAAGCATCAGGGACTCAGGCTCCAAAATTCTGAACACCTGACGAATTGGTGATGTTCCACCTCTGTTCTTCAGCCAGCTGGACTCGCTCAGGGATGAGGGCAGGGTCTGCCTCCTGCAAGCCTGGAGTAACTAGTCAGAACCAGACAGATGATCTCCAACAGCTTCCACGGCCCGCCTCCCATTCAGGTTTCCTGCCTAAGTCTTGTCTGCAAGTCTCAAAATGTGCCTTGTACAAACTTGCTCACATCATTTATTTTTTTAAATAAGAAAGACTCAGTATTTTGAAGAGGAAGCGCTTGATTTTTCTTCTTGGCATGCTTTGTTCCATAGCCGACATGGTTATTTCATCTCTGTACCCCACTAAAGTTTTATTTATGGTTGCAAAGCTATAGGCCTATAATTGGACTTTTGCACCATTCTCTTTGCATATGTTATCTGAAAAGAAAAAATCAATTGACTTAATATTTTATGAAACTTAAGTGGTTCTTAAAATGCCTACTTGTACATCTTTGGTTGCAGTTGCAAAACTTTCTTCTGTAATTCTTACCCAACTAAGGAAATAAAAGCAAGTTTCTCATGTTTACCAAGTTAACATGAAAATGATAAAAATTTGCTTTTGCTTCGTTATAAAATTTTCAGCTGGAAATGGAGAAGTCAAGTTGTTTTAGTCAGCTGTGGCTTCCTCCTTCCTCTTTGAAGAGAACTAAATATGCCTATTTAGTTAGTTCTATTGTTTTCATAAAATCACATCTATTTTCTGTGACTATTGCCGATGTGAATCATGAATATGGCATGCTGTCTGCTGGGCTGGAAATACACCCACAGAGCCAATCCCATCCCTCATTTGTGATCTATTCCCCATCATTCCTGAAGAATTTCTGATTGCATTCTTATTAATCATCCTAATTTCCCCCTCTTTATGCCAGCTACTTTCCATTCAGTTCAGGTTCTCTATTTAGCTGATTTCTGGCAATTAGTACTTTATGTCTAGATACAGCTTTCTTCAGGCTGGTGCCGTGTGAGACAGCTCAGATTCCCAGTTCCTCTGCTGCTGCTGGAGGGACGCATACATGTGAGGGATGGTATTCAGCCACATAATACCACCTATTAATTTTACAAAATACCACTCAGAATGACACACACCTTTATTATCATACCCAGGTTACAAGGAGCTCTCTTGATAAAATGGGCCATCTCCTCTGTTTAACATTCCCTTTCTATCTAGTTGATTTGATAGCAAGCTCATTTTAGATTAAACTTCACTGTAGTTGACTAAAACATTATTATGCCAGCCAGGATGTTGGATACACACCTTATTGCCATCTGTGGTTATTCTGCTGCTCTGTCTCCTTCAGGAGTCGGCACACATAAGGTTAATACAGATGCCGCCCTGGAAGGACTCGACGCACAGTGAGGAGTGCTTTCTCCGACAACTGTGTCGGTACCAGACATTCCGGTAACGGCACCTTTGCTGGAAACTGGTATGCCCAGTGCCAAATGATTAATTCTTTAAGTCCCATGTCTACTTCACCTTGTTTTATGGCAGAGGATGCAAAGAAGAACTAAAATAATAGCCACGGAAGAAAAGTAGGCAGTGGAAATGCACTGTTGAAGGGTTCTCAGAAGTAAAAACAAATGGAAAGTCTGCATCCTTGAATACATATTTCTTCTCAAATGCTCACTGCACTTCCATATCCTGGGTAACTAGGACTGGGAATGATGTTCAGCCAGATGCGGAGCATTAGGCCCCCACTGCTGCCATTTTGAAAAAAGCTGCTATATGGAGGGTCACTTCTGTGCTGGGTTCGGGTCCTCTGGTTAACATTCCCTCTGAGGGACCAGATTCTGAGTACTTAATCATTTTTTACTTCCACCCTCATTTGTTTCCTTTCTTAGAATAGCCCTTCCAAAGCGGCAGCTCGCATGACACTGTCAAGGGAGCATTTCAAAGATTAGAAGCCCCAGATTCCCCAACGTTGTCCCTTGTCCCCCATCAGATGCACTGGCCCTGGCAAGGGCCACCCAGGGTTGTCTCGAACCTAGGGGTGCAGGGAAGCCTTGAAGAAAAACTTGTCCCTTGTCATAATAAGGCAAATGCACAGAGAGAAAACAGGAGCAAAGAGGCTCCAGCCCCACGCCCCCCTCAGTGGAATGAGTGTGCTCATGTCCCCTTTCTCCCACCAGCTGTAAAGTTCACTCATCCTCAACCAAAGCCCCCCCTTACCCTAACTCCCTAGAGACAGGTCCTGGCTAAGGTCAGGACTGTAGGCAGCAACAGGGAGTCTCAGCTGCAGCCCCAGATGACATCTCTTGGTTCATGTGGGGGCTAAGGGTCATCTCAGGCATGGGTGAAGCCCAAGGAAATCTTGGGCTCAGAGCTGCAATCAAGGATACCATGACTGATTCCATAGACTGCTGAGTTTGGTTATCCTTTTCTCCACTCAGCAAACTTTAACTGAGTAATTGCTATGGGCCGAGCTCCTTGCCGGGCAATGTATTTGCTCCTAGCTGGTTCCCTGTGATGCCACTTACTTCCAAAACAGACTTAAGGCTGCACTGGCATTGTGGAAAGTTCTCTGCTTCTTTCAGTTCTGGTTTTTCAACTTTTTCTTAACACAGGAGGCCATTTATGGCACAGATGGCTCTTGTTGTAGCCACTTTCAGAAATTAACTCTCTGCTCCCCTGGACTAGGGCTCCAGGGTTTTTCCTAGTTAGAGTGTTTCTTACTCCCATCTGCAGGCAGAAAATACCGCCTTCCCTCTGTCCTTGGCAGTTAGACTGGAGCAGAGTCGAGACCCTCCTGCCTCTCACCCCAGCAGTGGCTGATCACCCTGGGCTGATGCTTCTTCCAACACAAGAGGAGCTGCCCCAGCCTGTGTAGTCAGACTGCCAATTACGAACAGCCAGTTGCAGAGATGTTGTTGAAAATTCTTCTTCAGTTTCCACCATTTCAATCATTTAAATAATCTCTTACCAAATCATCTGAAGGCTTAGTTTTGACACTTAGCATGATGCTGTTCAATTCTTGGTATGTCCAGATTCCCAGACTGTACTATCAGGGATGAGGCGGGGCAAGCCTGTGGGATGGGGGCGGTGATGGTTTACCTTCCGCAGGCAGAATTTCACTTAGCGTGGCAAACTCTTTTCAACAATACCCTTTGGGTTATCATTTTGTTTGGGAAAAAATAGCCCCCGGGGCAAAGCCAAGATAGGTGGCAGTGATACTGTTAGAACAAAATTGTTCTGTTTAAAACTTTAAACAGAGTAACCCAAGAGTGAAAGGCCAGGGGACCCTAGATCAGGAAACACAAAAAAGTAGGTGGAGAGGAGCAAAGCAACAAAGTGGTAGGAAGGGTTCTGCTTGAAGGAAGAGCCACTGAGAAGTTCCAGATGGCAAGGGGAGCAAAGGGGCTTTTCCGTATCAAGAACTTGAAACATCAGGGATATGTGTTCATTTTGAGGAAACCG